CTCAGGTTTGGGGATTCGCCCCCTCAGTAGAGGTGACAGCATGTGCCATGCGGAGTGCTGGACTTCTCTGCAGGCGAGCTGTTTGCGTGGTTTGGGCTTAGTGGGGCCACCACATCAGCTCTTCATTGTTAGGTATTCTTGTTGGAGGACAGCTCAGAGGGAGAGCCTGTAGGGCCGTCCTCGGTCAAGGTCACGGGGCTTCTACCTCTGGACTGGAGAACTGGAGGGTGATGGCTTATCCCTAGGGTCGAGCACAGGGCCCAGAGTGGCCTGCAGCCAATATGACATTTCCTTAAGGTCTTAGGTTTTATCTTTAAAATCTGATTCACTTTCATGTTTTGCCCCAGGGCATCTCCTGAGTTAAATATGAAAGTTTTGTCACTCGTGTACCACTGACTACAGTGGACATTCTAAAAAGCAACAGGCTTTCTGTCCGTGGCTTTGTGCACCCCTCGGGCAGGCCTCCACGCCCCAGGGTTGCAGGAGTCCCGTGTTTGGACGCACAGATAAGACAGGCAGGTTCTGGGTGCCTCTCAGCCACTGAGGCAGGAGCACAGGTGCCAGCAGCCACCTTCACGCGTGGAGCCCATTCACTCGTCCATTAGACCCTTTGAGCAAGGGCTGCAGGGGCTCCCAGAGCAAAGAGCCATGTCCTGGGCCCCGCCCACCACCACCATCCTGGCACCAAAGCACCCTGGGGGCAGGGACCTTGTCCTTCCCATCCTTAGAGCCTCAGCACTCAGCCCTGTGCCGGGCATCAAAATCGTGGATGGTCAGTAAACGGTCGGATGGAGCCTGCGTTTTGCATTGGCTCTAAGACCTTTCTGAAGTCGCTACTTGGGAGTCCAGGGGTCGCCTGTGCCGTTGAAGAAGGCGGAGGTCTGCCACAGACAAGCCCTCATTTTCATCAGTGGTTGTTTGGTCACTTGCTATTAGAATAAGGAAAGACTCTGTGTGCCTCACACTGGTACAGGCACCTGGTCAGTTTTCTGTTCTTCTGGAGACCTCACGAACGCGGACCCCGGTTGGAAATCTGTGTTTCTATTTTTACGGAGGTTTTGCAAAGCCAATGAACATATGAAGGATTTGAGAGCCAGGTTCAGATGAGCTCTCAGCCGTTTAGGCAGCTTAGCATTTATTTGCATGTCGGTGAGAACTCAGCTGCAGATGCCTCCTCGCTGCTGGCTAGAGCACCCCACATGCCCCATCCTCTACCCCCATCGCCAAGCAGGCGGGTCCCTCACAGCTCACTTCTTTCCTTCTCTTCTCCTCTGCCAGCGCCCCGTCCAGGCCCTCTCCATCCCGAACTCACGTCACTCCGTCGCTCTCCCACGTGGCATTGCAGCCTGAGCTGCCCTTCTCCCCTCGTCTCCAGCCTAACTGATCTCACGGAGCCAGTCCCGCCCACCAAGATGGCTCATGCTGGCCCCGAGTTTGGCCAAGCGCTAACCTTCCTTCAGGCCAGTGCCTTTCGGGAGGAGGATGCCAGCCCCTCGGTCAGTGGGGGTCGGTTCTCACTCAGACCCTCCTCTCTACGTTGAACAGAGCCCAGCCTGCTTCGTTCCATCCTTTCTTACTAGTTTTTCATTTAAAGGTCTGCTCTCCTTAACTAAAGTGCAAGTGCTTTGATGGTAGGAGCCCTCTCGACCTTAGGTTTCAGGGCCATTTCCACTTGAGGGAGGCCCAGCAGGCAGTCACCAGGCCATGGCTACTGCCACGTGTCCTCAGCACCGAGCACGTGGTAAGTGCTCCTTCGGTATTGTTGAATATGTTCTAGTTTTAGAAATATTTTCTTCCAAGGGAGCTAATAGTGCTTATACTTTTGATTTGACTCTAAAGAACTATTAACTATTTCCCCAAAAATATACTTGATAGTGGTAAACAGCAGGAAATTCTCAGGAGCCCCTTTGAAATACAGGAATTGGTTCTGTTCCCCACGCCCCGGAGGACAAGTTACCTTCTCATTCAGGGCTCAGCTTTCTGCACTACTGACACGTGCTGGGATCAGTGACTCCTGCACCCCCTCCTGGCGTGACATGCAGTCACGTCCCAGTCCATGTTGTGTCCACGTGCCCCTCAGAGCCCCACAGTCGCAGGGAGAGAGTAGGTCCTTCCTCTCCGGCGGCTTCTCCCCTGTGTGAGTTTCCAAAACAGAAGCAGCCTTTCTGGACCCCGGGCCCCTGGCAGCTGGGCCAGCCTTCCGCTCCAGGCTCATGACTCCATCAGCCCGGCCCACACCCTCTCTGCCCCTCATCAGCCCCCCACCCCATTGCCTCTTCCAAGCCATTAGGCTCATCCCCCCTGGAGTTGCACAGACCTTGAACTTGGGAGATTTCCTCGGTGGGCAGCGTGTCTGTGTCTGAGGAGCAAGCGACACAGGAGCTGTGGATGGAGTCAGGACAGGTGACCTCAGCTGCCTTGCAGTGCTGGTAGCACGCTTCATTGTTTCCAGACATCTGCTCCCCCTCCGCGCTCTGGACACACAGCAAAAAACCAATTACAGACCTGGCACGACTTGAGATGTTTTTAGACCGGCCATCTTCGAGATGGGAGATTTTGCCCAATGGTCTTTTGCCCATTGCTTTGTGGTGGGAAATTGATGAAAATGAGTACAGGCGAACTGAAGCCACGTGTGCATGCAGTGTTCATCGCAGGGTACTGGGTATGGGAGGGTAGAGTCATTCTGAGCAACTGGGCTTTACCGTTTAAGCATTTCTCATCAGGGCCCAGGCAGGAAACAGAATGCATTTATCATTCCTCGCTTGCACAAATATTGACCACGTGTGCACGGTGTTCTAGTCACCATGCTGAGGCGGCTTCCTGCCCCTATGGTGCTGACCGGCCAGTGAGCGCCGCCAACCTACTGGACGCCCCAGGTGCCTTCGCGAATGTTCTGAGGAGATGTGACGCCGTGTCACCAGTGTGCTCTGTCATCTTCCTGACATTTTCAGCTAGTTCTTGTTTGGCTTCTAATTGCCAGGTTGCCTTAGGTCAAGACACGATCTAACTGTCTCGCTTGCTTTTTGATACTTAGACATGTCTCATGGGATTTGGATTTTAAGGATGTTAATGCCTTCTAGTGTTGGCAACAGAGGTTGGCGAACTCCGGCCTGTGGGCCAAACCCGGCCTGCCGCCAGCATTCATAAAGAAAGGTTTATTGGAACACAGCTGCACCCGTCCATTCGTGTACTGTCTGGGGCTGTTTTCAGGAGACGATAGCAGCGTCATTGTGACAGACACTATATGGTCCAGAAAGCCAAAGATACTTCCTACCAGAAAATATTTACGTACAGGAAAATTCTGACCCCTCCTGTACACAAAGCAACAATAACAAGTTTTGCACCTGTGTACTGGCGGGGTAGGGGGTGGGCAGGTTTGTGTTAGAAGGTGTAGAGAGTTTATCCTGATGAGATCGAATGGTCCAGGTGAGAAGTGACACCCAGCACGTGTGGAATGAGTCCATTTCTCCCCCTTGTCTGGTGCTGATTAAGCTTTCCTTACCGTCCATCCCTGCCTCTCTCTACAAGCTTATCTATGAGGCGTGCTTTTTAGGAGGAAGGCGTGTGTGGGCAGAAGGAAGCGAGGCAGGAGGGGGAGTGTGCCCCACGACTTGTTAACCAGGAGAGAACGATGTTTTCAGGAATCTGCTGCTGCTGACGAAAGACAGGATGGAGACGGACAGGGGCCGGGGCTGACGGGGCCTTTCTCCTCCCCTCCGATGGCATCCGCCCTCTGCTTCAGGCTGCACGGCAAGAGGGGTTTCCATAACCTCACAAAGAGGGAACCTGAACAAGGAACCCAGGCCCCGTTTTCTGCCTCTTCACAGCCCCCTACCCGCGAACACACACATATATCCGTTAAATCCAGAACAGTCGGGATCTTAGAATTCATTTCACTTCCAGAGTGTTCGCCAATGATTTTCCAAGTATAGTGCTTTTAAAAATACAGAGCACAGTGTGAGGTGTCAGAGTAGCCACAGCAAATGGGGGGCGGGGAGTTATTGCTTCAGGGGGGTGGAGCTTCTCCCTTGGGGGGAAATGAGAAAGTCCTGGAGATGGGTGGTGGTCACGGCTGCACGGCAGTGTGAATGCACGAATGCCACTGAACTGCACACCTAAAAATGATTAAAATGGGAAATGTGTCATATGTCTAACCATCATTTTTTTAATTAGTTTCAGGTGTACAAAACAATGTGATAGTTAGACACTTATACCCCTCCTCCAATCTATTACCCCTCTGACATTGTCTATAGCTGTTACAATTCCATTCACTCTATTCCCTATGCTGCACTCCACATCCTATGACTATATATATATTTAATTATAGTTAACATTCAGTATTATTCAGCTTCAGCTTCAGGTGTACAGCGCAGTGGTCAGGCATCTACACCATCCATGAAGTGGTCTCCCTAATAAGACAAGTGTCCATCTGACACCCTACAAAACCTTTACAACATTATTGATTATATTCCCCAAACTGTCTTTCATATTCCCATGGCAATACTGTGGCTACCAATTTGTGCTATCTAACCCCCTCCCCTTCTCCCCCATCCCCACCGCCCTCCCATCTGGCAACCATCAGTTTTTTCTCTATATCTCTGAGACCATTTCTGTTTACTTTGCTCATTTCTTCTGTTCTTTAGATTACCACAATTTTAAAACCCCAAACTCATTAGCCACATACTTTGCCAAGATCAGATTCTCAGTGGCAGTATTCACATTTGCAGATTAGAAATCTTGTTTGGAAATCTACTTTTCCCCTGTATTTAACTTTAAAGCGACTTCTTCTAAGAATTAAGAGAGCCCCGTTATATTCAATTAAAAAGATATTTACTAAATGGCTAAAAAAAGACACAGGACATGAGTTCTGCAACAAACAGAGAGGCAGACTCGTGAAAGGACGCACAAAGACAAAACGACATGGTGAGATGGCCTGTGTCGTCCCGACTCCTAGACGTGACCCCTCCCCTTGTTTTTCTCTGTTCCAATGTGGCTTCCAGGAGCGAAACCTGGACTGGTTCCCCAGGATGAGGGCCATGTCGCTGGTGAGCAGCGACTCCGAGGGCGAGCAGAACGAGCTGAGGAGTCTGCAGGAGAAGCTGGAGTCCACCATGAAGCTCGTCACCAACCTCTCGGGCCAGCTGTCCGAGCTAAAGGACCAGGTAAGGGAGAGGCGCCACCTGCCTGCACACGCCACCCAGACAGAGCGACACACGCTACACAGACATGCCACATGCTTCACATACACACGCGCGCGCGCGCGCACACTCAACCACACACGCTCAATGTAATGAGGGAAAAATCAGTAGTGATCACGTGCAAGTGCTGACGTTTCTGTCACCTGGGTAGAAAAGGGACCGGGCCACAGAGGACAGACTCACTCAGTCCCCCCGTGTCCCCTCCACTCCCCTTTCACAGGATGAGCCCATGACCCTGCTTTCCACGCTGCTCAGGGCAAGGTTTTCACATGAAATACAAAGCTAGAAAATGGGAAAATGCAGACTGTTTTGATGAAATGCTGTAAAAAAAACATGCGTGTGACACGATACTCGGGTTACTTTTCTCACTGACAAAAGATGCTGTTTCGGGTTTGCTCCCTGCCCTCCAATCTACCAACTCTTTACCCAAGACATTTAAATTCAGCCCCCGGGATTAAACCATAGTCCTAGAGAAGTTCCTTTTGGTTCGTTCCTTGACCAAATCCCTGTCGAGTGGGCGCCACAGTCCAGGCTTCACGCCAGGTGCTGAGAATAAGCCAGCGAGAGGTGTAGACACGTCCCTGGCCTCACAGAGCACGATGGTCTGCAGAGGCCCCGCCAACAACCCGGCCACGACATAAGCGCTTTGCCCCTGTGGGCTGGGGACGGGCATCTGTGTCCCATCCTGGTTACCTCCCCCCTTCTGGCTGCCTTCACATGAACAGGTACTGTCACCAGGCAGTCGTCTAGTGACGGGAGGCAGCCGTGTGGTGGAGACGTGCGCCCTGGCCGTGAGCAGCTGCTCTGCCACAGCCGCCTGGGTAACCTGGGCAAGTCGGCATTCTGCACGGGGCTCTGCCAGCGCTTTAATCCGCTCTGTAGATAGAGCATTTTGCACAGCAAGTTGTGAAGCAAGGCTGCCCGGAGGTAAGGTGCCAGGTACACCCAGAGGTGAGGTGTTACTCTGAGGAACCTAAGAGCGAATGAAGACCCCGGCTGGAATCAACTCTCCGTGGAGAGGGTCTCCAGAGCCCCTTTTAAATCTTCCTTTGAATTCTATTTCTCTTCCAACTAAATTGTTCCAAACTGTGCCCCAGGATCCCGTTTGGCCTCAGGTTCTTGTCTTACACCTGGATGAGGGCGCAAATAGGAACGAATGAGAACAGGGGCCTTATTTATGAAGGCCGAGTACCGAATGTGGGCGGCCGCCGAGTAACCTCAGTAAGGAAAGCCGCGAACATGTAACCAGATTCCTTTATTATTTATTATTACCCCTGCTGTGAGACATGTGCCAGCCTCTCCACAGAACCGACTGATGCAGGAGGGCACTGTCTGCTCCAGCTGCTTCTGTTTGCTCCCCAAAGAGCCGGGTGAGCCCCCTAACACATCTAGCCATGCCTCCTCCTCCCTTCTGAGAGCGCTGTGGCTCCGAGAATCTGTTAAGTCAGATGTTTTCAATTAGATGCCAGGAACTCTTACAGAAGTGAATCCAGTACAGACTGGAGTGGAGGAACTGGTCAGTTCTCCACGCAGTGGTCCGTTTTGAGATGTGTCTCTGGTGGCGACGCCCCACGCGCCCTTCTCTGTAGGCGCGGCCTGTCCCATCCGTGCTAAGAGCCTGTTTCGAATTGCTCATGGGGGTGGGAACTGGAGCTGCTTCGATGCTCACGGTGCGGACCAGCAGCCTGGTTGAAGGAGTGAGCTGAGCGGAGGGATTAACAGAAAGAATCGGAAGGGGATGAGGTCACCCCAGGGCCGCAGGTGCCACCTCGCCTTGGTGAGGACACTAAGATACACACCCAGGCTCTCAGTGACAGTGCAGCTCCACCCTCCTTCAGGGTGGGGACGTTTTGCATGGCATATGTTTTTATTGTCACTTATTCTGTCACTGTACCATGTATGCCTTTCATGGCTGACTGTTTAAATTCTTAATTCGTGTTTTTCAAAAGAGCCGTAAAGTTTCAGAAGTCACATCCTGCACTGAAAACACTGTGGAAGAAAATTCATTGCCATTTTACACAGCTGAGCATAGTGGAGAGTTGGCATTTTTAAAATGCAAGGTAGAATTGTTTTTATTATGCCCAAATGTTGGCTTAAACAGAATATGTAAAACTTGACTTGATATGGGCTAAGGTTCATTAAATGACAGTAAAACCACTATGGTTTAAACTGTTTGCTTTCAGCCCTTTGTACATTTTTGTTTTAAAGTTGGCAGTTGGAGCCACTCTTCAGCAAACTTTTCCTCTGTGAGTGAATTTGAAATTGAACCATTTTTCCTTGGAAAATACCATAGGCTAAAAAGAAATAGGAGACCAGTTGCATATTTTCAAGTGCCTTCATCAGGACTGATCTGCTTAGGTTTTCAAGTGTCCAGAATTACAGGGAAATTTCAGCATAGCTGCATTTATTGGGGAAAATTTGCTTCTCTCAAAAGGAATTAGTCAACATTTCCTTTTGACTATGTAACAAACCTTTAATGCACTTATTGAGAATTAACTTATTGAAAAGATTTGGATTTTATTAAATTTGGCATGTAACAGTCATGAAGATTTCTTAAATTGTTCTGCGTAAGAAGCCACACACGTTACGAGAGCTGCTGGTGCCCAAATGGTCATGTGAGAGCTCCTGCCCTCTGAAGGGAAAAAATTTCGAATTCAAAAATAAAAACCCCACAAATGATTAATGAGCAAGGAACGCTGATAGATATTTTTTTTTAACAGCTATGAAAGAATACCATTCACTGATAAAGTGCCGGAAAATACAGAAATTGCTTCATCGCTTAGATATGTTTTCAGATGTTCTGCTCCGAAAACCACGGAACAATAACAGCTTAAGTGTGAAAGGCTTTGGTTTTCATCTTTACTGTTAGGGACCGCTTTGGTTGTTGCTTTCTTATAAATACTAATTTGAGGAGAAAACATTCTCCTGGAGGACTTGAGTAAAAGCCTGGTTGGCGCTGTCCGTTTCCCTGTTACTGCCGAGAACAGCCTACCCCGATGGTTCCTCAGTGTGACTTAACAACGCCTTTCCTCCCGAGAGATTCTGAACGTTAAATGTGATTCTCTTACATTCTTATTCCAAGGAGGAGAACTAATGTAAGAACCTAAGTGGGGTTTTTTTGTTTTTTGCATGTTTTCTTCATAATGCAAAAGAGCAAATACTGAGAGAAGGGTTCACTCTCTTGACAAGGTGACTGGCTTCCTAGAGGACAGTGACCCTTACTTGTGAGGAATACAAGAAGTGCTTGAAAATTCAGGTCCGATTAGCATGTTACAGCGTTTGGCATTTGTCGTGCAAGCGGGTTATCTGGGTAACATCAAGTGCGGGAGGAAGGAATTACAAATTCCAGCTGGCCAGTTGGAAATGGAATGTCTGGCAAACCTTACTTAATGTCTGGGCTCCTTACACGGTGCCGGGACCCAGGGGACATCTGCCCCCAGGTCCCATCATTGGCCTGTACCAGTGGGAGACAGCAGGAAACGCCCCGTGACCCTGGGCACAAGTGAGGCTTCACGGAGCACAGCGAGCCCCTAGCTAGTCCTCTGCGAGGTCTGGAGGGTCCGAGGAGTCGAGTGTCACCAGTCTGACAAGCAGGTGCCTTCCGAGCTGGCGGAGAAATGCAGTGGGGGCTTCCGAGGAAAGGAGCCAGCATGAACAACGGCATGCAGGGCATGGCATGCTCGGGGGGTGGCACCGGGCTGATTCAGCTCATCGTCTGAACCACCGTGTATGAAACACCTACTGGCCAGCTGCAGCCCAGGTGCTGAGGGAACAAGATGAAGAGAATCTATTCTCTTTCTTCAAGGGACTACCACTAGAGTGGGAGACAAATAAGTAAATAGATACGTTATAATTCAACGTGGTAAGTATGTAACGGGGATATGAAAAGATTGCTCGGGGTGAAGAAAAGGGAGCGATTCGTTCAACCTGACCTCAGGGAGCGGACTGGAGCAGTCGCCACGGAAACGCTCAGAGGTGGTGATGCGGGAGCTTGGTCTCCAGGTCTGAGCAAGTTTGCCAGGTGAGACAGGAACAGAACTCTAGGATGCAAACAATGTCCGTACAGTTACGTGACATCAGTATAATTAGCTGCATTCAGCAGATGCTTTGGTTTGAGTTCTCAGTATTTTCGGCTCATCCTATGATTTCGTGGACTGTAAACATTAAATCGGGTTACTAGTGTCCCGGCTGCTTGGAATCTGAGTAACCATGACCTTACTGCGGCACGAAAGCAGGTTTTCCAAGACTGTTTGGATCTGTTCTAACCAGGCTGAGGCACTGGCGAGCTGGGAGGCCTCCTTCCTGTGCCAGCCGGTATCACTGAGGCCCGTCCTGCTCTTTTGCACCGGCCACCGAGTGTTTCCATGAGAGACCTCTCGTGGGGGTGGCTGCGATGGCCTCTGCTGCTTGTTTAGACCAAGTCAGAAGAAGGCCAGCTGTGCTCAGGCTGCTCTGTGTTAGACGGAGATGAAGGCGGGCTCTGCTTCAAAGGCTCATCAGCTCAATAGGAAGTCAGCATTTTACATGCATCTGCTACAAACGGGACAGTTCACGCTCTTCAAAGCAGGCTTCTCAGTATTAGAATTTTGAATAGTTACCTTAGAGCTGAATCTGATGGAGATTTTGTCTTGTCAATGTTGTTTCGAGTGTCCAGGGAAGACAGATTGAGGATATGCTAAGGGTAGACATTGGTCATTATTTCTATTTGTTTTGATATAGGTAACAGTAACAGATAATAGTTATGCCTCAAATCAGGTGTGTGTGTGTGCACCTGTGTGTAGGGAGGTAGAATTGAGCTGATGAAGCCCGGAACGGCGCGAGTTTGCACTCCTAGGCCAGGGAAACCTAACCGGCCAGCAGTGTTGATCTGGGTTTCTCACCGGCCAGTTTAGTCCTTAGGGGTTTTGTTTTGTTATTGTTCCCTCATAATTGTAAATGGGTGATGCCCGCTGGCAAAAGGGCCAAATACTTGAGCAGGCGTCCTGTCCCTCTCATGTATTAGTCACTTAAATAACAGCCAATCTGTGGAAAAGGCCATGGTGGATCAAAACAGAATTTAGACAAACGTGTGTGCCTGCTACGTGCTCAGCCGCAGACACTCTTCATCAAGATCTTCTCATTTGAGAAAAATCACATATGTACCCAAAATACTTTTATTTAAGTGCCAAGTGTATGACAACATATCCACAGTGACATTGACCTCTATTTTTGAGAAAATCAGTGAAAAGCTCTCTAGAGCAGGTGTGTTCCCAGACCAGCTACACCACCTGGGGCAAAATCGCAGGCCTCCCTGAGGCCCTTTGATCTGGGTTGGAACAAACCTTCTGGGTGATTCTGGCTTTCCGTTAGCCAACGCCAGCGTTTAAGAACCACTGTTCTAGGAAAACAGAAAAGAAAATTAGGTATGTATTAGGTACTTGAAATTACCAGGAATGTGACTGGCTGAGCTAAGGATTCGGCCGTAACTACAGTAGGGAGCTTTCAGGTTGATGGGGTAGGGAGGGTGACGGGGTCTTCATCCCAGGAAGATGAACCCAGGAGATGAGGGCAGGCCCACTGCTGAGGTGGGGGGCCGGGAAGCGGGAAGGGAGGGGCTGTCAGTTGAAGACACATTTGCTACAAGGGGATAGGGTTTTAGAGGCGGTTAAGAGAACGATCGAATGGCCAAGAGATTGAAAAGTCAAGACATGCTGATTTAACAGACGGACACCAAGCTATGCATACATAAAAGGTCATCTCAAATACAACTAGTTAATTGATAGACAAGGAAAAAGCTGTCATGGCCAACTTTGAAAGATCTCAGCAGCTTTACATGGAAGCTTTGAATACAGTCTCCTTCAATAGGGGTTAAGCCCACCAAGATCCCTAAATCCACCAGAAAGCTTGAGATTAAGTTTGATTGGATTCCCTCTCAAGGTTACCTGCCAAGGGCATAGTTGGGGGAGGGGGTGGGATGTGAGCTAAGTATCTGAAGTGTCAAGGCAGTCAGATGAATGAATTGCTGATTACATCACATGGAGAAGATGCGGGTTGGGTTCCAGACCACCCCAGTAATGCGAGGATGGCAGTAAAGCGAGTCGTAATCTTTTTGCTGGTGGAGGGTCTTGCCGTCAGTTTGTAAAAAACACGACATCTGACAAATGCAGTAAAGCGAGGCGTGCCTGGAGTCTAACTGTGAGTTTACTCCACATTCTCCTTAGCTGAATCTCAAGTGTACTGTCGTGTGTAATGTTTCCTTTCCAGATTTGTCATTCATGTAAGGAAGCTTTAGAGGCTAGCTGGAATATCCTCAATTAGCTCTTTATAAAAAGCTACCTTTTGGAAATACTGACTCCATGTAAATCGTCTAAATTTTAACAGAAGGCATTTCACAGGAGCCTGAAAATAGTATTTTGATTTGAAAGGAAAAGGCTGTATTTTCAATAAGGAAAAATAAGCACTTTAAAGTTGAACTTAGGTAAGTTATTCTTGTTTTGTGTTCGCTCAGGATATTTTGTACCAAAAACTAGTGCAAGTGAGAATTGAGATTTAAGCACCGACCATGTGACAGACCCTTATTGAGAAATTCACACAACATCCTTTCAGTTCTCCGCCATGAGAGGAAGGACCGTGCTAATTGTATGAACAGAGAAACAGACTGAAAAGTTAAATAACATAAAACCATAAGGACCTAGGCCAGTCCGATTCCAAAGCCCATGTTCTTTTTACCACTCCACCCCAATACCTCTCTGATTTTCGGAAACAGCAGGTCTAGGAACAGGACCTTCGGCCACTTGTAGACAGTTGTATCATTTTATCTAATGTGCATTTCCTACAAGCCTTTTTATCTTAACTGACTCAAATGCCCAGCATCCAATCCAGGGCTAGGACCAATGGGTTACAAAAAATGTGAATGCAGGGAATGACATGTGCCCCCAGGTCAGAGCTAGACACCATCCACCTGAGAGCTGGTGTCGTCCAGCAGCCAAATGACAGGACCACGTCTTGTGCTGGGTTTCGACAGCACTCTCACTGGACCCGTCTAGGACTGGGCCCTCCTGCCCTGGCGCGGTCCTCGGGGTCTGGCGGGGCCAGAGCACGACTGTGTACCTGGAGCTCAGTGGGGTGTCAGAGCGTTCCCCGGCTTCCCAGATGTGCTGCCTCCTGCTTCTCTCTCAAGCTGAACCCCCCAGCAGTCCCTAGATAGAGGACAGGACCCTGCAGGCCAGGGATCATCCCTCGGGAGGGGCCACGGGGCTCCAAACACACTGCCGCCCTCGATAGCTGCTGAGCTGTGCCTGCTGTGCAAAGCCCCCATTTTCCAATGAGTCCGCATCGCTTGGAAATGGCTCTGGGAAGCAGGCGAGAAGCCTGTGCTTCTGTTGCCTTTTGTTTCTTCCTGAAACAAGTAGCAGGCGGTCCTTGTGAATGTCACGTTGCATGACGAGGTCACAGAATTCCCCCTTCTGCCGAGAAACATGTTCTTTTTGAAGTTGTGTGTGTGTGTGATATAGTGACAGGACACTATTTGTAGAAAGTGGGTTTCAGTACAAACCATAACCACAGAGGTAACTCTATGGTTCAGGATATGATTTGACGTACAGGAAGTGTCTGGGGCTAATGATGAAACTTTTTAACTTTCCAGATGACAGAACAAAGGAAGCAGAAACAGAGAATCGGTCTTCTAGGACACCCGCCTCACATGAACGCCAACCCACAGCAACCAGCATAAGCAAGTGAGCTACAGCAGCGCGGTTCCCTTCTAATGCTGATTAGCGTGGGGTGGCCGCTCAGCCCTGACGCCCCCCCGAAGGGCGCATTTATGTTCAGTACATTTGTAAATACTCAGTTTTATACTGTATGTATATGATTGCTACTCTCCAGGTCTGGATATATGTATTGTAATTAGAATTGTTGGCATGATGAAATTTCATGTGTGCCAAAAATATTAAATGCTTTTTTTGGAAGGACTAAAGAAAGCACCTGATTTGCACTTGAACCAGAGTATAGATTAAAAACTACATGACATGTATTTTGTATTTAAAACTAGAATAGCCAGTATTTATGTTTTTTTTTTATAAAACTGTGCAATACGGATTATGCAATCACAATAAATTTGTAACTCCTGGGTGTCCTAAGGGACTGCACATCTTTGAAGCTGGTGTTAAAAATGTAATAAATGGTTATATATCAAATGATGCTGCTGCCAAAATCATACGAATAGTACGTCTGAGGCCCCTGGGCATTCTGCATCATAGAATTACCCTGTGCTGATACGTTTCTCGTGGCTAATGGCACTAGTGCCTCTGTCTCCTAGTGACAAAGCTCCAAGCCTATGAACTGTCGAGTCAGCATTCATTTTAAGAAAAGCAACTTTAGTTTCAAAGATACTTTTAAGCTTCTGAATTGATCATTTAAACTATTTCTTTAAATAAGAGCTACATTAGAGGCTCAGACTTGAGCGTGTGAAGTTAACGAATCTTTTAAAGGGAACTTTTTATGCAGCGTTTGGGGTACATGCATACTGCCGGCCAACCGTGTCATCAACTAGGTGAGTTCCAGTGTCACATTATGAAGGAATGAATGATTGACGGTCCCTAGAGGCCTAGGCCAGACAGGCGAGCTGGATGCATTCTTCATCTGAACAACATGCTGCCGTAGCTAAGAAGCAACGTGTGATCCAGAGGAGATGAAATACGGTGACCCTGTTTGAGCTCAGAGTTGAACACTGACGTTATTCTTGTGAAAGAGCCACGTCTTGGTTTTCTTGGTCACGTGATTTCTTTCATTGATGGATGAAAAGTATGAAAGGAAACGTGTATGTCCGTTGCTTCGTTTTGTACATGGGTCTCATTTTACAAGAGAATGTCTCTGCAAAAAAGTTTAAAAATGTATTGAAATCAGAGTTCCAAAATGAGTCAAGTTTGTAAATGCATATATAAAAATACATATTTAATAAATGATGCAGAATCATACACAGTGACCGGCTGCTGGCTGTTGTTTGGGCATTCCTTTGCGTGCTAACGGCTACTCCGATGTATATTTCCTTTAGGGCCAATTTAAAGTGCTGCTGCTTTGTTACTAGATGAATTCAGGAAATGCCTGAACTGATGAGAACCGTGAGGAGGACAACCTGAGCACACCGGGCGTGTCTGAGGCAAACCCAGTCCTTCATTCTTCTGGACGAGCAACAGCCGGGCGTGGGCACCCAGCGCCACGTGGGGACGGGGGAGGGCTCTGCCGAGGCCCCTAGGCTTCGCGCGGGCGCTTCCTCTTCAAGTTGTTTGGTTCGTGACCAGTGTTTAGTCAGGGTCCTTCTGCAAGACCATGGAGACGGTTTACAAAGCTAACGCTTCTGTCCGAGGTCAGAAAGCTGGTTCCCTCCTCAAAGCGCCTTGCAGGTCTCTTGAGGCCCCGGTTTTCCCCAGGCCTCGGTACATAACCAACGCTGGAACCGGGTCGGGATTCAATTCCCACTGAGGGACTGGTTTCCTAACCGGTGCTTTTACTTTATAAATTTGATAACTTACAAACACAAGGGAAGAACCTCCCAGTGGTGGAGCATCTGTCTCTACACCGCTCTTCCCTAATCCGGCAAGCCCAGGACAGACACACGGAGCTCTCAGCAA